TGAAATAGTTTTCGAAGTAAACTTTAATGAGGTCGATATTATTCTGACTGCAGAATGTAGATTAGATTATGAGTATTTAGCAACAATCTAGTTACAAACGTATTTATCGATTTCGTTGTTGCAAAATATTTAAGAAGAAATATCTGCTTGGTAAATGTTATAGATATTAAGAAATTTAATAAGATAATAGATATTCTTACAGCTTCAGTCACTGCTAGAAATTATACTTATTACCTACATGAAACGATTTGATTGATTGTTGTTCATAGTCTGTAATCAAGATAAAAGTTTGTACCACGAAATGAGTTTAAACATTTTCTAAACAAAATGTCACAACTACTAAATTCTTCTATATCTCCGTTTGCTACAAAACTGAAGATTTTAAAAATACTCTTGCTTTCCTGTCGGGACGTGTTCGGTGATGTTGAGTCATTCGGATCCTTGTAACAAACGTGGGTGGATCATCTTTGGATTAAGTGATAAAGGTACTCTTTATTTCAACCTTATTTCGAATTAAATGACGATAAGTTAACGACCTGCTGTGAATAAATTAACTGGGACTGAAAAAACAAAATTGTTTTAGAACCGCAAAAAGAATTTTGTGTAACTTTTCTTGGGGATGTAGGGAAAATATAGGTATAATCGACCATTTAAATCAAATAGGAATAACCATTTTAACGTAGTCAAAGACAAATGTGTAATAAACGAGAATTTGTCCATAAAAAGATAGTAAGCAAAATTAATAAAGACGAATCGGATAGCCTCATTTTATTAAAGCACTTTAAATATTCAGAACACTGAATAATTGTATGCCAAAATTTAGGTTAGTATAGTATAAACCAAAGCATTCGAGAACTCGTTAAAATTCTATGTTCTAAATACTCGTCTAAAGAGAACTATCTGTCTGCCAAACAAATTGGTTGTTCGTGTTGAGCCGGGAATTTTTCAGGCAAGAGGTTTGACCTAACTGTACATTCCAGACTGACCTAGATTTGAACGAAACTTTTTCGTGTTTGGTCACGACTTGCAGTTTTCTATAAAACGCTCGCCCTTCCCTAGTCGATGGTTTTATTTTTTTTATTCCAACTTGACAGTTGATTTAAAAATGGAATCGGGATTTCGCGCCATCTCTTTTTATTGAAAGTGAACGTCTACTCGCTTGATGGCTGGAAATGGCCCATTCACTCAAATGCGAGAAATAGAATTTTAATTTTACAACGAATTACAATTAAACTCTTTCACAGACGGAAATATTTCCAGAATGTGCGTTAAAAGGATTTCTTTTTATTTTTTATGTTTCTTATCTTTGTTTAACATTAAGAAATGTTTGTCCTCTGACAAGAATTCCTATTAAATTCTTACATATAAACTGTTTGTTTACAAAAGACAATAAAAACACGAATAAAAAAGCCTTTGATCGTTTTCATGAATCATTAAACAATGTTGTTTTGTGTGTTTGGTTTTGCCAGTAAAATTGTCAATTACCCTTGTTAGTTTTCTTTATTCTCCAATCGTATTCGGTTTATGCAAAAGGTCTGAGCAATCGATCTCATTATTCAGAATCTTGACAAAATAAGTGCAGTCCGCTAATCGACGGCGATTTATAAGTGGGTGCAGATGAAATCTTTTGCATAGCTCTGTAGGTATAGTTTTCCGATCGATACGGTATCTTCAGACGAAAACAAAAAAGCAAACAAATCTTTTTTGGATGCTCTCAATGCATATGAAATAAAATCTGATTGGAGTTAAAGACGTAAGGGTTATCTATGCACTATGCAGGTATATAAAAATGAATCCCTATATCCCTTGGCCACGCCATCACGCGTGAACGGCTGGACCGATTTCACAATGTTACTGACAGGCTGTGGTTCTCATGACAGAAAAAAAAATCTGAAAATAATTATATATTATAGGAGAAAACGGGATTGTGCGTACGAAGTCACGGGCAGAAGCTAATTTATTACATTATTCATTTGAATTTATAACGCAAACACAAATTAAGTTTTATCCATTAACACCAATCAATATCATATGGCAAGCGACTTGTGAAACAAATAAATATTCACATACATTCTCTACATTTACATAAACAATTTATACTTTCAGTTAACATGTATTATCATAATGTTACATTAATTTTATCAATCGACCTATTTTCACAGAATAATAAGTGGTCGATAGTCGATTGGTCGATACTGTTGCGCTAGTTAGGTCAATATTGTTTTTGGTGCATCCATAGATAAGAATATGGAGAAATTTTTTTCGTTCGAGATTTAAAAAAGTAAAAGAATATCTATGGAGTTTTGTATCCAAAGGGTAAAAACAGGACCTTATTACTGAAACTCCGCTGTCCGTCTGTCTATGAGCAGGTTGTATTGTATGAACCGTGATAACTAGTACTAAACAGTTTGTACCAACGTAAAAACAAATAAATAATCAATACATAGTATAAAACAAAGTCGCTTTCGCTGTATGTCCGTATGTATGCTTAGATCTTTAAAACTACGCAACGGATTTTGATGCGGTTTTTTTTAATAGATAGAGTGATTCTTAAGGAAGGTTTGTATGTATAATACATGCATATTGCACCCGTGCGAAGCCGGGGCGGGTCACTAGTATTATAATAATTATAATAAATAATATTATAATAATAAATAATATTAAGTATAATTATTATTTATTTGTTTTTACGTTGGTGCGACGACTCGCACCTGTGCTATTGGTGGAATCAGACGATTAAGACTATTGAACTAATTGAATTGACTTTAGGATTTAGGTATTTTTTTAGTTTAGTAATTAGTTTTATTAAAATGCATCGCTAATGCAAAATACCGCCACATTCACATTATTACTTAAAACCACACGACATTTACGTCAACAACTTCTAGTTCATTATTAGTTTAAATTAAAAAGTATATCTGTGTACCTATAGTTACTTATTTGAAAAACCAGGTTGTGGTCTGGGTATAACATATAGCCTATATGTAGATATTTACCTACTTAAATAGTTAGTTTTAAGCAAGTTTTCATACCGATAAGTACGTATTTAAATTTTACACTGACTGCCTCGTTGGCCGAGTGGTCGCAAGTGCGACTCTCGGGTTCGATCCTCGGGTCGGGCTACTGGGATTTAAAAAAAAATCTCAATAGTAGCACGGAGTCTGGAATTGTGCCCGGTATTTGGCAATAGGCTCACCCCCCATTACATGGGACTCATAACATAAATAGTTAAAAGTGGGTGTTACTTCTGTGTGCACCTCTGCCTACCCCTTCCGGGATAAAAGGCGTGATGATATGTTATGTTAAACTTCACAATATTTTATTATATATACAACCCAAAAGATGGGAGGATGAGTTGGAAGGAACAAACATCGAATCCTTTTTGGCGAAGGGTCGCTCAATGGAAATAGTAGGAGGAGGCCTTTGCCAAAAAGCACACTGAACTTAAGAGATATTAGAGATAACAAATTAATGTTTCCCTTTTAGAGTTGTTGAAATTAATGTTTCCTTTTTGGTTCTGGAAAAAGGGCTTTTCTTTGATTATTATCAATTTTTACGTTATATTTTTTACAGGGTGGAATTTTGTAGTGCCAACTAAGGGAAGTACTCGATAGACAATATTACTCAAAGAAAACATAACATTCCTTTATTTTTGTAAAGAAAGTAAAACGGCATTCAAACGCTTTTAAAAATTCGCTTGTCACACACGGTAATCGAACCGACTAAAATTTGTAAAAATTGCACCCTGTACTTTTATTGCATCGTCATCGTCGATGTCGATCGTCATAGTTAATAATGATTTTTTGTGAGGATATGTAAAAAATCTAGTTTACATCAAATCTTATGAGAATGCAATGAATTGCATTCTCATAAGATTTGATCAGCATCGATTGTTAGTTATCTCGTAGTGAACTACGAGATAACTAACAATCGATGCAATAAAAGTACGCAGGTGGCAACTTTTACAGATTTTAATCGGGTCGATTGCTAGTGGTGGGCGGCAAGCGAATTTAAAAAAAAAATTGAATGGTAGTTTTCTATCTTTTCAAAAATAAAGGAATGTTTTCTTTGAGTAAAATTGTCTGTCTTTAGACAGGTATTAAGACTACTTACTTTCCCTTCAGGTGGCATTACAGATTTCCACCCTGTATACCTATACGTTTTATTTTATCCATATTTCAGGACATGGTAATTGTAACCATGCACTCAATTATCTAAATGAATACCTAGGAATTAAACCTAGGTGTTTGTTCGACACAAAAAGTAAAACAATAACATAGGTAGGTACCTACATACTTAGGCATTTCATTTAATGGGTCATAGGCATTTAAGACGTCAGTGTAGGTGGTTACGAACTAACCGGGATTTCCTTAAACGTATTAATGAAAGTACCTAAGTAGATATAGGGTAAAATAGTTGAAACTTTAAACTTCTTTATACCTATACTTACAGTTTATAATTCTTTTTTTGAGAGAGAAAATCATCCAATGTCTTCTACTGCCTTGGGTGAGGTGATACTGTTCAAATGTAAATATATATTCGAGGTAGATTCTAGATATCTATCTAGGTCTTATTTGTATCTAGGAACGTAGGCTCACTACTTCACTAGACAACCTAGTTTGCTAAACCTATTGAACATTTGTACAAAAACATTTCAGCAACTGTAGTTTGTAAAGAACATTGTTTCACGATTCACGAATAGCTTTCAGTAACTGTCTGCATTTATATGCGAACATATTATGTCTAGCGTTAACTTATGCAAAAATACATATCTACCTATCTATCTACTAAACGGGAATCTACGTACAAAAGTATAGGTTTGTATGTATAGGTACCTAAACGCTTTCTTCGTTTGCTGTGGTTCAACACAAAACCAAAACCAGGCGAAGGACTCACACACACGCGCAGGAAAATCAATAACAGCTTTCAACAACAGACAACAGCTGATCACGACAAAATATAACAAACGTAGGAAATTATAAGTTTGTATGAACACTCACCACGACTTTTGTTGTTGACTATCATCTGAGTTATTAAAGTTAGTTATAGCGGGATATCTGCAATACAAAATAGTCATATTCAACATTCACAATAACACTACAAAAATCAAGCATTTCAATGTTTAGCTCACTAATGTTAGTAGGTAAAAATTAATGAACTAAATGGCCCGTGTTATTTCGTTGCGTTCAACTAAATGCGAACAAAGGACTGTGTTTATTTTGCAACGCAACTCACCGTTGTGCGGTGCACTCCAACACCTTCTTCTTTTCCCACCCCTCTTGAGTTTTAACCCATTCTTCACCAGGAGACCTCCAGTCTTTTGAAATAAAAGGCATTTTTATAACACAAAACACAACAAAGTTTAAACACGATTGGTGTGAAGCCAACGAGTCACACAAGCAAACGTCTACACCGCGAGACGGGATTTGACGATTTTGACACGAGAAGTTCGAACTAATGCAAATGCACAAGTGCGACAGAGAAGTCTTGTTTAGAAAAAGATAGCTGTGCGCATGGCTTTTGTTTTGTTGATTCATAGAAGACGTCATAAACAGCTGTTTTTGGTACACAAGTTCTTATTAGAAACATTATTTATTTTATAGACTTAAATTTTGTTTAATTATTATTTCATGGATTTCCGTTAATTTATAATGAATATAAACACTATAAACTAAAATCAAAACACTTTTCGATTGGATTTATCACAATAAAATATGCTAACGTAGTCAACATCGTAATACCTGAAATGCTCCTTATGCTCATTCATTCATTCGTTCTTTGTCGTAGCGATTCGTTATCTGTTATTATTTTGTTAAACATTCATTCAATCTCTAGACGGGAACTTACGTTTTTGAGGTTATATTTGTACCACAGAATTTGTTTTCGTAATGGGTGACTCCGATTCTGCTTTCAAACCAAAAATCAACAGTACTGCACAAGATCCGGTACTTAAACAGGCTGAGATAGCGTATATGAAGTTGATTGAGCAGAAAAACCGCGAACGTGTACAAAAGCTGCAGCAGATTTCGAAAAAGAATAGGTTGACTGGACTCGTGATAGGAAGCGGAGTATTGAGTGTTTACTTGTATTCTATATTCGCTGTGAAACAAGAAACCTTCCTTGACGACTTTGAGGAACCAGTAAAGATCCAGCAGTAATAAAATGGCTGCTGCGAAGAAAGCTTTCCAGATAAGACTACCACCTCTACCAAGTATTAAAGATGTCATTAAACTCTACAAACTTCGTGCTCTCAGGGAACTCTCTCAGAATTTTCTCATGGAACCTCGTTTAATAGATAAAATAGTAAATGCCGCTGGTAATATAGAAAATCATATAGTCTGCGAGGTTGGACCCGGCCCTGGCGGAATCACAAGATCCATTATCCAAAGAGGTCCAAGAAAAGTAATTTTGATTGAAAAAGATCATCGTTTTACACCATCTTTAGAACTAATAGCCGACGCATGTAAGAACAAAGTGGATGTTGACATCATAACTGGTGACATTTTGAAGACTAACATAGCTCAGTATATTCCCGAAGATGCGAAGACAGGCTGGCTGGACTCGCCGCCCCCCATTAATTTAATTGGAAACTTGCCATTTAGTGTGTCTACAATATTGATAATTCGTTGGCTAGAAATGATATCAAAGCAAGAAGGTCCATGGGCTTTTGGGAGAACTAGAATGACGCTGACATTTCAAAAAGAAGTTGCTGAGAGAATGGCGGCGAGAATTCTGCATGATCAGAGGTGCAGGCTGTCCGTGATGTGCCAGAACTGGTGCAATGTCAACTATAAGTTTGATATCTCCGGAGCAGCGTTTCTTCCAAAGCCTGATGTTGATGTGGGAGTAGTAACATTAACTCCCTTGAAGCAGCCCATCATAAAACTACCTTTTAAAATGGTTGAGAAAGTTGTCCGCCAGATATTTTCCATGAGACAAAAGTATTCAATCAGAGGGGCTCAGACATTGTTTCCTGAAGATGTTAGAGAAGAAATGGCTTTGAGGATGTACAAAATGGCTGAAATAGATCCTGTGACCAGACCTTTTCAGATAGCTAACATGGAATTTGCAAGAATATGTCATGCATACAATGAAATTATTAAAGAGTATCCTGAATTTGAGCACTATGATTATAGAGCGCAGAAGGTTGGCAAAAAAGTGGTAGTGCAAGAAGTTTAAGTTATTAGAGGACTTAGTTGTATATATTAGTTATGTTGGAATAAATACTTATTTAAAATATCGGTTTTATCATTTTTTATTACTATTACTAGTCATACACTTCATACACATCACACACAATAACTTAATTAAACATTAGAGATTTTTGTTTCTGCTTCTGTCCTGTTCCTTTGTTCTTCTAAACGTTTCATTTTCTTCAGTACTTTCTTATGTCTAAAGGATTCTAAATGAATTGCATATACATTATCCCCAATGAATATTCTTTTACACACTTCACAATAGTTGTGTGAATTACCATCTATTCCTTTTTTTACATCATCTATAACTGATTTTACTGGGGTATATTCACATGGTTTTTCATTAACATAACTTTCTACAATATGTATAGCTTTGTTTTTAACTTCTTCATCCCATTTCGAAATATCTGTAGTATCCAATTCGTAAATGGGCGGTACCTGAAACAAAGAGATGAAATTTAGCACCATCTATTGTTTGTGATTGTGAAACTCTACCTCTTAGTGATGTTAGTTCAGCTATTACATACAAGGTGGCGTTGTATAAAATTTCAATATTGCCAAGCAGTCGAGCCAAAATTGTAGTAGTTCTGCCATTCGCCACAAGATGACTCTTTTAAATATTTTTACAATTCAGAACTTTGAACATAATACGATTTTAAATTTATCATAGAAGGTATTTTCAAAAACAAGCCGTAATAACTGCACATAAAACTGATGAGGATGACAAATCAAACAAAATATGCGCAATAAACCAAATAACACGCAATACTTAGATATCGCCGATTTTATCTACCGAATTTTGCACGACACGGAAAATTATGGTACTTTTTATGTCCTGTAGGTTTTTCTAGTACCCACGCAAAAAGACATGGCCTTTGTTAAAAAAAAATCAATCTACCGCACATTTTTGTTGTTTCACTTGTTTGACATTTAATTAAAATCTTACCTCTCTTGTAGGATGTTCCAAGAATCTTCCTCTAATCATCTTGTTTTGCCGGCGGGCGTACCTCCTGGTGCCCATTTTCATGTTTTCTATGCTTTGTTCGAGTAATTTTTTTCCTGCGTCAGTATTTCTTTCTTCATCAGACAGCATTAAATACTCATGAAATTCTTTAAAGCCGAGAGTTTGGAAGACACCTTTGGTGTAGTCCGGTGGCCTGGAAACGATAATAAATAAATAGGATAATGTATGAAATTAATAATTAATGTTACACGGGGTGCGGATACCGCCTGAGGGTGTTTTAGCCGGCGGGCTAAAAGCTGGTTGTATACGTCTATGGAAAACAGAAGTGAATAATTAAACATTTGTACGAATGTCTGCTGACGTCAACCGGGGTATGCTGGAGAATCGTAAGTACCTGCGAGTAAGGTAAATTTCTTAAATTGATTTTGAGTAGGTAAGTACGTGTGCTCGGTAACATGGTAAGCCTGTAAGCCGCTTAGGGAAGCCTGAAGCAAAGATTATGATTTTGGGTACGTAATAACGAATTATCTAAACATGGGAGGTAGCTACGTACTTGGGTACCTCTTCACAATCTGTCTACGGGTAGGAAGATACTTGAATTTGTTTAGAATTTGAAATGTGTGGAAGATAAACCGTTCAAGGTCAGTCCGGCGCTGGATTAGCTACAGATAAGTATTTGCCAACATAAAACGATGCAAAAATGTTTTGTTTATCTCTCCGATACCGTATATCTTTCAGGGAAGTGGAACTAACGCGGACTGTTTACTTGTGGGCGTGTTCGATTATTTGTTTTATTGCGTACTAGTAAATATAGGTAGACCGCGGACGTACACACATTTAAATTCGGAGTTTTTTTACTTCTGTTGTTATTGGCAATGTAAAAATGCTGTAGGTGTCGGATGCTCGTCAAATCAGTTGTTGGATTAGTTTCTGTGTGGTCCCGGCTAATATTAGGATATCAGTATCTATCCTTATATGGTTTGACAAAGAGTTATTGTAACATAAGTTCATCTAATCTAATAGGATGTTGCTCATCATTTTGATTTTAGTAAAATATTGGTTGGTATTCTTTTGTACACTGCAGTAACGTCGTAACTAGATGAGCTTAGTTTGTTTAAAAGTTTATTTATCACAGTAAATAGAAAGTGTATGATGATGGATTTGGTCGAACTAGACTAGAGATATGTAGGTACATGAAAGTCGTATATGCATACTTGATTGTAAAATTGAATTGGGTGCAACACCAGCAAAATGTAGGTGCACAAGGCGGGCGCGCAGCTCTAGGAACAGATAATGATCTGTGCTTCAATCTATAAATAAGCAACTAGACATTAATAACAATAACTACGTTTATGCAGACGATGCACGACAACGTACTTTGCATAATACGTCAATATATTATCCGGCACAGAACGTAGAAACCCGAACATTTTAAAAATGGAAATATGAATATTTGCGCGCCATTCCGTGGCGGAGTTTTTTGTCGATGGTATAATTATTATTTAGCGAACGATGAACGATCATCGATTACGTAACGTTTGTTAGGTATCGTTCGTTCACCTCAGTCCGTTTCCCGCTGACTTAACCTTCAAAATTTATTCGATTTATTTTATTTAGTATTTTTATCACACATGTGTGCCTCAGTCACATGTTCGCACGTCAAATTTACTAAATACGCAAAAACTTATTTGCCGACATGATAATTAGGAATATCTACGATAGATAGGCCGAGTGTTTTGACGGTTTTAGTTTGAATAAGGCTACTTGTAAGCATGATTATTATCTGTCGGGGATAATAATAAGTTAGTCTAGCACTTTATAAAGTACATATAGCGCTGAATTCCTATTAACCTTACAATAGAAGTCAGTTCTCCCTGACTATCACTTAAAATCAGTCAACTACAATCAACTTATTTCAAATAAATTTACAACCCAGACCTGGCGATCTTAACTAACAAGTAACAACGCATACTTGGAAAGTTTAAAACAATGAAAACATAAGGGCAAGTTACTACTGCTACAAGCTCCAGTGGCCTTATTCGAAGGGATGTAGACGTAGGGGTAGTGAAGTGGGTTAAAGGGTAGTGGGCCGTAATGGCCGGTGACGTATTACGGCGCGTAATGAACCCGCCGCGTCTGGATGAAGACGTACAAGTGCCCGCTGAGATATAGGTGACTGGATATGTCTAGTGCCGTCGCTGGATAAATAAACTTATATTAACGTTACTTTGATCATGTTTTTCTTGATGCGGGAAGGATAGATTCTTAGTCGATTGTTGAACTCTTTCTAAATACTCAGTACCTAAGTAAGAAGTCTGATTTTGTGTACGACAATAAACCGAACGCTTATGAGATACATATGTTGTTGTTGGAGCATCAAACATTAGGTACTTGTAACCAATGGCAGCCAGACGTTTACACCTTCAGAAAATTAGAGTCCCATTCCATTTACGTCGCCTCAAAGAGCTATCCGACCACCACAGATGGGGCTCAATAGGGCTGATGCCGATACGGAGCCGCGGAGAACCTCACGGGTTACCGGGGCTCCGGCTCGAAGTGCAGGAGTAGGAACGGGGTGGTTTTTAGTCAGTAAGAGTCTGAGACTCCTTCTCGCCCTGGCCCGAGCGGGAGAGAAGTCATTGGATGATTTCCCCCGTAAAAAAAATCCTATATTTGTGTAACTACTCATTAACATTATTTTATTATGGTTAGTTCCGTATTATGATCGATTCATCAGTGAACTGAAACTATTTAAAAAATACTGGTGTGTTCCATCTCATACAGTTTATAGTCTCTGCAAAAGGGTCAGGAGTTGATTGTTCCAGAATAACGACATACCTGGTTTATGCACAATTTTGATTTATTACTTCAAGTAACTTGTTTCTGTAGGAAGGGTGTTCCTCGTGTACCTTTAATTAATTTTCATGTAAGATGGAACAGGTTGGTGGAACTATAAACCGTAGCTTATTCTATTCGTCAGCAGGTAAGTTCGTGTTGCTAACTCTGTGATTGGCTAATGCCGTACTTGGGTTTTTGGTTTTTAATTTATCAATAGCTACGGTCATTTTTTTTTAAGGGGGGAAAATCATCGAATGACTGCTCCCGCCTGGGTGAGGCGGGAGGGAGTGTTAGACTCTTACTGACTAAAAACCACCCCGTTCCTTCTCCTGCACGTCGAGCCGGAGCCCCGGTTACCCGCTAGGTTCTCCGCGACTCCGAATCGGCAACAGCCCTATTGGGCCCCATCTGTGGTGGTCTGATGGCTCTTTGAGGCGCGCGCGGAACGCGACGCGCCATACGCTCGGGTATGGTATTGGTAGACAAATCTTTTTTTTATATATTTGATGGGCCGACGTTTGACCACTATCTCACCTTGCGGCCTACGATGGAGTACGTCGTCCCATAAGCAACCTATTCACTCGGGCCTTGAAGACACCCAGGTAAAAAAAAATAAACAAATAACATAAGAATTTTAGAACTGTCAAAAGAGAAAATGTCCGTCCGTCACTCATTTGTGAGTTGGTAGACAATTTGTCTATGAAGTGGGAGTGGCTTACATGACATAAGGATGATGTTGCCTGTTTGCTACTGTTCTGTGCGTACGCAGCGTACTCTTAATCAACAGGTCTTGATCCTTGGTATTAAAAAGTTTTAGATGTCTTAGATAAATATAATACGAAAATACTGCGTCCCGAAGAAGGGGCTCAAGGGACACACATTCCATATTAATTATCCATTTCGTCAAATGTGTGATATGTTGCTCAAATGTCTACCAGTCTACGGATAGTATAGTATTTCCTATTTTGAATATTATAGTTTATATTATCCGAGTGTATTGTCGCACATCAGGTGTATTTTTAAACTCCGTGCATGATTTTTTGGTAAATTTAAAATAGACTATTGAAGCAACACCATTGTTAAAGGTACCTAAATAAAGTGGTTATTAGAAACGAATAGGCCATGCCTTACTAATCTAGTAGGTTGAGGCAGACTTACTAGATTAAGTTAAACAAAAAATTAAAAACAACTTTTACTTTTTCCAAAATGAGACGAAAAAAAAAAATCGAAAGTTCCGTCCATTAGTGCTGAGACGTCGAGTATCGATTACACGGTGCGTTAAAAATAAATCAATCGGAAATTCTAAGTTTTTTGTTAAACGGACTTTGCTTTATTTCAACGAAAAAAAGTGAATCAATCAAGAATCGATTAATTGATAAATACTGTTATGGATGAATAATTAAAATGTAATTTTGATGTAAACAAATAGACGGTTACTAATAATTTGACCGAATTTTGGTCTAAGGGCAACACATAATTATGTATAAATATTATTTTAATTCCTAAAGTCGTGTAAATTTGTAGTTGTCGACGTCTGTATCCCAAGATGTCGGCGTGAAAATGAAGTTAAGTTAAAAGGTTTATAAGGAAAATGAAGTTAGTTAATTATTTTCAGTCATGAATGAAAGTTTTTATTCTTAAATGGCTTAACAGCGGCTATTTTTGTTCTCTCCGTGATTACCACTTCTGTTAAACCTACTTTTAAATTAGTTTGAAGGTTGTTTAATTTATAATTAGAAAAACTTAACTTCTCCTCATGACTTACATAATTAACATTGAACCCAGTTAAGTTAAAATTTTTAAAAGGAAGGAAAACATTGTTAATGTTTACGCAGTATCTTCTGTCAGCATTTTTTTTTACAAAAAAACGTGGCTGTCATAATTTTCGGTTATGTTTGAACTTATGATCATCTTTGTTAGCGTAAAATTTGTTACTTTGGACAGATAACCTATTAATTTCGCATTAAAAATAAATATTACTAATTCCCAAGTACCAAATAATGGCGGGATAGTAAAATAGGCTCGGCGTGTAACACGACACGTTGTAAGACGCGACCGCAGCACCGCACGACAGATGACAGACAGGACGTTGCCCGCGAACCGCCATATTTGTTTTGTGCATTTTTTACACCATAGACGCGACCTACGTCTTGTCTATGGTGTAAAAAAACGCATGTGCATAGTAAAACTGAACTGAACTAATATAGATATGTAGATAGTTATAAACTATAAATATACTGAAACGTCATGTCTTACGTCCTGAAGATATAGGCAAAAGTGCATGTGAAATAAATCAACACCAAATTTTCGTCAGGTATATTGTCAGTTTAATAGTCAAATCCAAGTTTCTCATGCTGTATTTAAAAATACCGTTTTAATTATGAACCCATTTCATGAAGAGAACGTCTATATTTATAACCTATTCAAAATAGATTTAGTACTATTTGCACCTTCCATTCAAGATATTACACTTTCAAAGCCAAGTTAATATTAAATCATTCAACCACTCAATAAAGCTATAAAACTTATCAAATATGTAATTACGTTTGCCATTACCCTAACCAATATACCTTGGGATCTCACAGTGGCACCACTGACATTCAACATTTACAAAATCAGTACAAACCCAACTTTTTTTACTCTAGTTCCATATTCGGCCGTGGGTCTTGTAACACTGGTGGCATTGTAAAGAAGTTTCCTGTCAATTTCGCGTTTCTTACTAACAAAATGTTTCGCTAAGCGCCGTTTAATTTCACGGATAATTTGTGTGGATCGAATGCCCTTTGTTTTTCGTAAATTAAGTATTGATCGACAGACTTCACTGTCTGCCTGTTTTTATTTTAAAGCGATAAAGATATATTAAAGTGTTTGTATTTTTCCATTCATTGGTAGTTTTTTTTTTAGCTGTGTTGCCAACTTTAAATAATAATTTAATTGGGTAGAAATTACGCCTAGGTGTTTAGACCATGTCAATAAAAAATAAATTAAATTGCAGATGAATGGCAGACTTTGATATTTTCAAGATATAAAAACTTTACATGTTTATGATAGACTAAGCGTCTTGTGCTATGAGATTTTAAATAAGTTATTTTATTGTTATTTGAAATTAGAGATCGATAGACTTGACAGTCTATATAACTAAGATAGACTTGTCTGACGACAAACATAGAGTTTTTGTTTATGCCTATTATGATTTTAAAAAGATAGTTTTAGACAGTTCTACTTACTTTCCATCCTTTATCCTTTGCTTGTTGTGCTTGTCGTGGAAGTCCAGGAGCTCCTGTATCAGGCCTTCTTCTATCATGGAGTCCACTCTAGAGTTGAGTCGCTGATCGTGGATACTCTGTAATAAATACGATTAGACTTTAAAGATTTGCTGGGAATGAGACTCATATTGCTGTAGTGAATTTGGTTAGGGCTTCTTATTTTATGGCTAGTCTCAATAACTTGACAGACATTGGGTAGCAGCACTTTCTCAAATCTGAAGCTTATAAACCTCTGGACCGGTCTGCCAAACGTTGAGATGGAAAACTTCTAAAAAATTGTTTTGAGTTATTTTATATAAAAATCTCAGTAGTAGCACGGAGTCTGGAATTGTGCCCGGTATATGGTAATAGACTCATAACATAAATAGTGAAAAGTGGGCGTTACTTCTGTGTGCACCTCTGCCTACCCCTTAGGGGATAAAAGGCGTGATGTAATGTTACGTTATGTAATTTTTATATTTTTAGAAATTTTTAGAATTTTTATTAGTTTTTGAGTCTGACGAGTCTAAAGACTTTGCTCTTCTTGCGTCTCTGGACTCTTGGATTTTTGAGTCTAAAGACTCTTGAGCCTAACGAGTTATATATGTGAATCAATAAACTGTTAAAAATCCCAAGCTCACAAAAACACTTTTTCAATATTTGCGAAACAGTGGCAGGTATTCCAATACTGTTTGATGTTAGGACGAAGACCCTTAGGTACTCCCCCCATGTAACAACTTTACCTAGGGAACGCAGGATTCCCGTGAGAATCCGAATAAATCTGAATTCGCCAACTGATTAGATAAAGTGACATAATGTTGATAATGCATGCATTGTAGTGCAATAACGATACGTGGTTACGTCATTATATTAGTGGGTGGGATAGTTCAATATGGTAGGATTTATTTTTTGATAGGTGTAAGGACGGATGTTGATTTGGTGAACGCTAATGATAATATTCTTCTTGTTGATCATCCTGATGATGTTTGGCTTGTTGGGTTGAGTGACGATGAAAATTCTCTGCAGTAGCTAGATAGCTTTGTCTTATCATTCATCAATAATTTAATTCTAGTTCAATAGTTAGTAGTCCTAATGAGAATTTCAGATACTCAAAACATCTACGTTCAGTTTTATTTAACTCGTCGAGTACCGGTTTTGTAGACACAATTATAGAACAATAGGTTGCGGTCACCGGTGACCGCTTGGTGTTTGACAGTTTAACAGAAAATTTAATCGCGAAGTATACCTAGTTTAATATAAAATCCAATTATTGAAAACATCAGAGAGCAGGGAAGAGAGGTTCGATTTTACTGGTTGAGAGCCCATGTTGGAACGGTTGGAAACGAGAGAGCAGATGAATTGGCTAAAGCCGCTGCCAAAACAAAACACAACACCACGGCAGGCTACTGTAGAGTACCCATGTCTTATGTCAAAAAGAAAATCAGAGATGAAACCATCCGAAAGTGGCAGGATAGATATACAACCTCCACTACTGGGCAGGTAACTAAATCGTTTCTCCCGGATATAATAGAGGCATATCGATTAGTGAGATCGACAAAGTTGACACCTGCCCAAGTACAAGCGTTGACTGGACATGGAGGAATCGCTGAGTACCTGCACCGATTTAAACTAACAGAAAGTGCAGGTTGCGAATGCGATCCAACTATCAGTGAGTCTGTATGGCATATCATTCTCGACTGTCCTCGTTTCCTGGCCGCCAGAACCAACCTAGAACATCGGATCGATGCAAGCTTGGATCCTGCTAAACTGAGTTCTATTTTGGCTGACAAAGCGAAAAGACCGCACTTCCTAGACTACATAGATAAAATTTTTCGCAGGGCGGCTGAAAGAAACAGCACCCTCAATAACAGGAGCCAAGCAGTGGTCAGCTTGGACAACCCGTCTAATTCCGCTGTAGCAGTGAGCGGGGTTCCCCTTGAAACGACGGCTGATCCGCGGATTACAATTAAGGAGCGGGAAATTCTCCTTTACGGTGAGCACGGTACCAAAGGAATACGTATTCGGGGAGTTGCTTTGTTCATGAGCACCAGCAGCGAAAGACTGGGGATCGCTTTCTGCAATACCGCTCACCAGAAATGGCTCACAATCTCGCCAGGCCTTGCCTCCCTGTTAAATGGCAGCACTTTCAAAACAAGCATGAGGCGCAAACTCTATGAAGCACTGCCAGAAACAAAGCTGGTCGGTCAAAGCTGTCGATTGTTGCGGACGCGCAATAAAACAATCGCAATGTTTTCTGGCAACAATACGACAACCTGTTTTGAACAGGCATGCAAGGTGCTGACCAGTATAGGTAAGTGGGGTAAAGTAGAGGGCATAGATTCTAGAGTTATCAGCGTGGATGCTGCTGTGGTGGCTTTCCGGCGGGGAGAGACAGCGGATCTCATGGGCTGTATTCAAGCTTCAGAACAGCATGAAGTCATTGTTTATGAGGACAGGGGTGAAGACCTCAGTTTCCTCAGAAAAAAGGTCCAGAGTTCACCAATCGCTGGCTCTTCAAGTGGTTCGGAGCGTCTGCAGCACAGGTATTCGGAACAAAGTGCTCTACAGCAACAACAACGAAACACCGAAAGACAAATAAAGAAACAAACTTCACGGACCAACATGTGGGCAATAACATCAGCCATATGTACAGCTGCGGGTCTCATTTCGTCGACTTTCAGAAGGAGTGAATCCGGCTCCACTCGCGGGGGAGGCGACAGTGCTCGGGTGCATCTTGCCCAGTCCAGGTCACCGCCAACCAAAGCCGCCATGGGTCACGTTTCTCCGCCGAAGTTTCGCCATGCCACCACTCCCAGAGACCACCTCATAAACGCCTTCCTCGAGTTTGTCGCAGTAATAGAGGCAACAAAACAAGTTAACTTGCGAACTTGCAAAACGATCCTGCAGGCATATCTGCAGGGTAACGAGCTGTTACTGAATGATAGACTCGAGGCTGCGGAGGCGGTCATATACGACAACAGTAAATCGAGAGTATTGAGAGGAGCTTCTATAAGTCGTAGTATGGCAGCTTACAACGCCACCGCAGGATTTGTGTCTCTGGATGAGAAGGAATCGGATAAACGGGGAGTTGTGAAATTTAAAACTCCTCCTGAAGACTCCTTAGTGGTAGTTGCCGGGTGCACCAGGATTATGTTGGAGGATCGGATCTTGGAAATGGTGGGATCCATTTCGGAGCCTGGGCCGGGCGGCGTGGACTTTGGGGGCTGGGATGCCCCGACATTTCACTGGACAAATGGAGTGCCGGGATGCGGCAAAACTACATGGATAATAAATGAATTCGAAGCGGAAAGGGATTTAATCGTCACCACAACAACTGAAGCAGCAAATGACCTCAGAGGCAAACTATCCTGCCGAATCGGAGGATTAGTCAAATCCAAAGTCCGAACAATGGCATCCATTTTAGTGAACGGATTAAAAGAGCAAGAGAGCTGCCACCGAATCATGGTTGATGAGGCTCTCATGAATCACTTTGGGGCCATTGTGATGGCGGCCCGAATAACTCGGGCCAAGGAAGTTCTGCTGATTGGTGACATAAATCAACTTCCCTTCATTGACCGAGACAACCTCTTCCCCCTCATTTACAACCGCCCTACGCACGTCGCGGCTATTAGCCAAGAACTTCTCTGCACTCACAGAAACCCTATGGATGTGGCATATGCTCTCAGTACTGTGTACAGTGGCATATATTCGTCCGCGTCGGGTGTGAGATCCCTTGAGTTAAAAAGCTTCTCAGGGTCGCGAATACCCAAATCTCCTCCGAACACGTTATACCTGGTACACACTCAGGTAGAAAAGGAATCCCTTAAAAACCAGGGATACGGATCGGGTGTGGGATCACGCGTACTCACAATACACGAGGCTCAGGGGCTTTCGTACGCGGCAGTGGTTGTTGTGAATACAGCGGAGAAGAAACAGCGGATACACGACAGTGTATCGCACGCCGTGGTAGCTATATCCCGTCACACAAACAGCTGTGTTTACTACACGAATATCAGTGACGACGCGATCAGCAAATTAATCAGACGAGCGGTGGGTGAGAGTGAGCGGGGGATCCTGGACTATAACTTGAAAATGGCTATCAGCAACAGGGACATGGCGGTAGTGGGCGCTCTTTTGGGTGGGGAGGGCTCGCTGTAAGCTTAAATTGTGATGCAAGCGTGACATTAATATACCTCTATATTTGTGTGTGTTTAATAATGTTAAAATGTAGTAAATATAATGTAACGTAATGTAAATTTTATCAATAAGACTGACAAAATCCATTGGCACTACTGGAATCGGCTTACTGCTGCGTGAGCAGACGTCATGCATTCTTAAATGTTCTACAGTCGGTGGCGCTGTGGGCTGGGTCGCTCCGTTCCCTACGAAATGGTTGATCGGACCGATTGCTGGCCCTCACGTCATGCTCGTGAACGGGCGCCTTCTGCTGGAGCAGGTCGGCTCGCTCATCGTGCGTGTGGGCCGATCCAGTAAGGTTAATGTAAATGTAGTAAAACATGTATTGTGTATATATAGGTAGATATTAGACACAACTTCTTTGAGAAAAAAAAAAAATGTGGTGTAGCACGTAAGATTTCTGTAACAATTAATTTAGACTGTAAATTAAAAAAAAAATGTAATGAAATGACAAGGGCACGGACAAGAGTCCGTGGAGAATAAGAAATGTAATTAATTAAAAAAAAAATATAAAATCCAAAGTACCAGGCGCGCATACCCGCGACGGAGTTTCATCCAGTACCTACAGGTAAACATAGTGAGCCAACATCTACCAAGAAAACCTTTATGAAGCCGTGGTAGTCTTGAAAAGATGTAATTTCCTTACCCTAAGCTGTTTTGCAATCTAGACTGTATTGAAGCTGGGAAATCGGTTTAAGATTATAAGATGTCCTTTTTCTCGGGAACGCGAATAAAATGGCTGACTGATCTTCTTATGGTCAGCATAAGTCCAGTGTTTTAATAGTATTTATTTTAAGTGCTTATACACACCAAAAACAATCGATGATGTTAATTCAGTTTAACTGAAACAAAGGTGTAGTAACGATTAGGCAAAGGCACTTACCTATTTTGTTTCAGAATT